GTTGGTGAAGGGGGAGTCTAGTAACCATAATGTTCTTCATGTAATTGTAGATTAATGATAATAAAATGAATAAAAAAAATACTGTGGCTAAATTATCAGGTAAACTTTCCAAGGTAGGGCCTGTTCATTCTTTCGTGTTTGTTTTTGTCCCCAGCTAAAAGAATCCATAAAACCTCATCAGTGTTTGATTTTGTATTGAGGAAATGACTGGGAATTTTCTTAGCTTTTCCCTTCCCTAGAAGGATTTGTGAGAAGCCAAAGTGAATAGTGATACACAGAAAAATAACATGAGCAGGTGGAGAGAGAATAAAGCCAGTAAAGCCTAATAAAAGGGACTCAAAGAGTTAGCCAGATAAAACTAGAAAGCTAGAAAGGACTCAAAGAGTTAGTGAGTTAATCAGCTGAAGTTTCAAAGGTCAGGAGTGACTTAGAATGTCTGGATATTTCCTAGATAAAGAAAAGTATCTGAGCACAGCCCCTGTCTTCACTGTACTAATTAGATCATGCCATTGTAAAATCTAATTGGCCTGCATAAAGGCCCAGCTTATTCTTTAACTTAACCTATATGTCGTTTTTCCCTCTTCTTCCAGCCATTAATCAAGTGACTTTGTAACCAGGGCAGGAGACAGACCTTGGAAGTGGAAATAAACCTACATGGACAAAGAATGCGGAGATCCAGGCCAACACAGTCACCTACATAACCCTATTCTTAAAACAGAACTTCAAAGGAATTATAAATCCCCTGTATACATCATGCCTTATGCTGACCCTTACCCAAGAAGTCCTATAAAACTCCAGACCCTAAATTCCTAAGCGTGCCTCCTCTCTGAGGTGCCCGAACTCACCTTTCTTCAGGTGTGTCACTCTCTCTGTTCTACTCCGGGTAAGTAGGGAGGGGTTACTGAGATCTCCGATTTGGGCTTGCAAGTTCCCATTGCCTGGGTGACCCAGACAGGACTGCAGCTATACAATCATGCTCCTTATTAGCCTGCCTGAAAATCTCCTTTCTTTGCCTTTGGGAAGTCCTCAGAACATAGTCTCACTCCATCCAATGCTCTGCAGCTCCCCCAAATCCTGGAGTGGTAGGGACTCAGGTTCCATGCTGTGTAGTTTCAAGCAGACGCTGGATGCCAGGTGACCCTGGCTTTAGGAGTTGGCAAGGGATGTGCCCTATGCTGAGCAGTTCAATGAGCTTCCCTTTCCTCCCCCTGTTTTTCCTTCTTCTCTGCTTTATTCAAGTAAACCTGCCTTTGTCTACTTTGACTCTGGCCCTGTCTTCCCTTGGAGTATATTCAAATAAAACTTTCATTCTGCTTCACTATTGTGTCTCTGCCCTTCAATTTGTTGTTGCAGCAGAGACAAGAACCAAGGAGAATAAACTCAACCCCCAAAAAATAGTATTCGCAAATTTTTTAACTTTTCACAATTAACAAAAATAGATAGAGCCTGGAACCCTCCCATCTCATCCCACTTCATACCCAGAATACAGCACTTTCTGACAAATATTAACAATAGAAACTCAGTTTCTTGAAGCTTCACCCTCCCATCAGCCCAGCCTGCTGCAAATACACATTACTATTCTCACATACCCAGCTCTGCTACTAATGCTACCAAAGGCAGAGCTGTTTCATTTACATGCTGTCTGGCTGGAGACATGGCGGATGCCTCAAGGGTCTTACGAAGATGCTCACCTCATAGTTTCCTGCCATGATGAGTTTAGCAAATTTCTTGGATCCTGCAACGTTACAGCGTTCTCCAATGTTAACGAAGTTGGTATATGGTCCAATCCTGAAGGGCTCTAGACCTTAAAAGGAGAAGCATTTTGAAAAATTTCTGAAAATGCATACGCTGACATGAGACAGACAGAAAACACATGTTTTCATGAGAAAGAGAAGTTTCTGTACCACAGTTCATCTGACTTGATAGGAGAACCAATGTGGAAATAGGATGATGGCCTTCTCCCCTAGGTATATTTACACGCACAAAGACTGTATGTTGCAGATACATTTACAACCAGAACTCTTCAAAAGAAGAAATATTTCAGGGTTTTTAATTGTAAATTTCTCGAAAGAGCTGATTCATACCAGTTCTGAGAAGTAAGGGAAAAATATCACATCCCTATTTAACCAAGAGCCTGGGGCAAAAGTCATTAAGTCAGAATCAAATGGCCTGCTCCACAGCTGCCCACTCAATATCAGCTTGAAGTCAGATGGAGTGAACTTTCTTAATCTCACCAAGAATTTTACCTCATTTCTTTGATCCAGAGGCTAAGAACCCACAACTGGCAAGGGCAAATTGAGTCACGGGGAAGGACCCCGGCCCTGGAACACAGGACATGCTGTGGCAGGCCTACCATTCATGAGCTGACTCTGGGCAAGCCACTCAGGCTACTTGCACCTCTCTCCTCATTGCTAAGGGGTAATAACATCTCCCCACTTACAGGCCAATTTAGGGCAGGTATCAGCTAATGAATGTGGGTATGATATGCAGACATAAAAGCAACATTCAGGGTAAAGTATCACTACAGAGAAGCCAGTTTTGTTCTACTCATTAAATAAAGTATTAGGAGAGTGAGTCTTGCTGGATGGTTACAGGCAGGTTCTGGGGACAGGCAGCCTCACAAAGTCCTGCCCGGCTATCTCAGTGAACAGCTCGGGTGACGCTGCTCACAGCCTCTGTTCTTATAAACAGACACAGTACAAGTATGGTTTTTCATGCTTTTTTCACACATCATTTCATAGTGTTATTGTAAAAATGAGACTAGATAACATTGATATGCACAAAGTTATCACCAGCAATCATAACTGTTGTTAATAAAAGAAAATGGCTTTGAGTCCTTTGCCGAGGCACTAGCTAAGAAAGAGATTATCAGGAAGAGGAAAACAATGAATAATGATATGAGTAATTATAGAACTATTCCTGGTTGACTGTTCATAGACTGGAGAGGCCATGGCTTCCCAGTTTGGGCCTGTGACCTCCCTTTTCCTTGGCAATGACCCCAGTGGCCTCACCCTCCATGCTAGACTGGTGAAACCCTGATGCTTAGGCAGGCCCTGAGCTTCACAGACAGAGAGGAGCATCAACATTTAAATGCCGAAAAGCTCTGCATCACTGCCCTAAAACCTTTCCACACAAAGCACTTTGTATCTGGTGTGAATGTGAAGTATCTGATATAAAAACTACATTTTCCTAATTTGCAATTTATAAAAGAACAATTTTTTAAAAGTGCACTTGAAGTCATTCTTTTAAAACTGATTGAAAGGGATTTTTTAAGGCAATTAAGAAACATCACCTGAAAGTCAAATCAGAAAAAAAGAATTCTTTTATTCTTACATACAAATTCTTTTAAAAAAACAATATCTAAATGAGTCTCTTGTTTCAATTTTGGCTACGTTTGACTATTTTTTTTTTTTTGAGAGGGCATCTCTCATATTTATTGATCAAATGGTTGTTAACAACAATAAAATTCTGTATAGGGGACTCAATGCACAATCATTAATCAACCCCAAGCCCAACTCTCAACAGTCTCCAATCTTCTGAAGCATAACGAACAAGTTCTTAGATGGTGAACAAATTCTTACATAGTAAATAAGTTTTTACATGGTGAACAATGCAAGGGCAGTCATCACAGAAACTTTTGGTTTTGATCACGCATTATCAACTATATACGTTTGACTATTTTAATTATTAGTCATTGGCTGAGGTTAATCAATAGCTTTATAATCCAAGGATATAATAAACTATCCTACCACATCTCTATCTGACAAAAGCCACTTTTTTATGGCAAAGAGTGTGTCATAAATCAGAAATCCCACTTCATCTAATCTCAACCTCTGTCTTCTGGAACATAAAAAGAAAAAAAGGGTAGCCTGAAATGGGATTTTAACCCAATTTCACACTCACTCACTGGGATAAATCCTATGAAGTAGACTCTGAGAGAAAGTAAGTATTATTTTTGCTGTCACTTGCAGTTTATTTCACTTTTCTTAAGAAACTAAGGGATAAAAACATTTCAATCTATGCTGTTGCAGTTGTAGCTGCATTCATCCCACCGGTTCTTGGACTTGCCATTGGAATGAAGAAGGAGATATCTAAGCTGGCCTGTGCATACAGTAAAACAATAAATTTGACTGGATCTATACTGTCAGAACTCAACCAAGAATTAGGAGAAGTGCAAGTTGCAGTGTTCCAAAATCATGCAACTATTGACTATCTACTGTTAAAAGAACATATGGGATATGAACAGTTCCCAGGAATGTGTTTTAACTTGTCTGATTTTTCTCAAACTATTCAAATTCAGTTA